CTTCACTGTCTTAGAACAGAGGGACAGAGGATTTTTCATTCACTTCCGAACACTGGTGACACTTATGATTTGGCTGTTGCTGCTTTACAGTCCCATTTTACACCAACTGTCAATGTGGTTGTGGAACGCCACACATTTAGAAAACATGCTCAGCTCCTTCATGAAACTGTTAATCAATTTTTAGCAGCCCTAAGAGAGCTTGCATCCACATGTGACTTTGGGAACAATACTGATGAGATGCTTCGTGATCAGTTTTTGGAAAATATCTCAATCTCACAGATCAGAGAGAGACTGCTGTTGGAACCTACTCTTACACTGGAGAAAGCTATCGCGCTTGCTTCACAGATTGAATCGGCAGCTGAACAAGCTAAGTCGATGGCTGCTGATAAACATGGCTTGCAAGTACATGAGGTACAGAAGAAACCTCTCCACACACACCGTCCAAGTAAGTCGTATGCTGCTTCTGCTAAACCTTTACGCACCTGCTTTAGATGTGGTTCCTCCAGTCATTTGGCTAATGCACCTTCATGCCCAGCTACTAAAGTTAAGTGCAAAAAGTGTGGAAAAACTGGACATTTTGCTCATGTGTGTCGCTCTGCCCACACCCTCCCATTACATGAAGTACAAGTTCCTGACTTAACAGTGCTTTGCTTGGAAAACATTAATAGTGTGATTGGTAAAATATCATATACTGTGGACATTCAACCCACTGGATATACTGCACAAACCATGGAAATGATAGTCGATTCAGGGTCCCCAGTCTCCTTGCTTCCCGTCACTGCTTTCACTGAGCAATTTCCTTTGCCTCCGTTGACCCGCCCTGCAGTTCGGCTGGTTACTTACTCAAAGACTGAAATATCCGTGATAGGGTGTTTCACAGCTCAAGTTTCCAGGGGTGGTGCTTCTGCTCTCGTGACACTGTTGTGAAGTCTGGAACTGCCCTACTGGGACTGGACTTGATGACTGCCCTGAACCTACACATAGTGGGCAAGTCTGTTCTTTTTCCTCACTCACCAAACACTTCACCGCCTGCTATAGAGCACTACCCTCCTATCATGCATATTGCTGCCACGCAAACCCACATAGGTTGTGCCACAAAATTTATACATCACGTAAGAGTTAATATGTCAGTGCCCCCAGTCAGACAGAA